CGCCCCGGCCCCGCGTCGGCGCACTCGCCCTGCTCCCGGGTGCGGGCCGGGACGGCCGGACGCCGCCTCCCGAGCTGCCGGGGACGAGGGAGCGTCGCCGCGGAGGCCTGTCCCGGGCTCAGCTGGACCGAGCCCGGCCGGCGCCCTCGCTGCGCGGGCGAACTTGACTCTCGAGCCACTGGGGATGGCTTCCGGCCCGAGCCGCCGCGTCTCCGAACTGGGCCCTTGCTGTGTCTCGCGCCGCCTCCTCCCGCTGCATCTGGGGACACCTTCCCTCACAATGCCAGGCCGGAGGGTGGGGGATCGGGAAGCGTAGCGGACCCCAAGGTAGTGTTCAGCCTCTCTCCGGGGTTCCAGGGGGGAGTGAGGTCGAGTGCGGGTTCCCGGGTGTCTTCGGAGCCGAGAGAGGGCGAGAGATGCTACGGTTCCCGCGGGCAGAGACACGGGCTTGTTTCTCTAGCAGTCGCGCCCAGGCCTGACTTCTGCTCCTTCTCACGGTTTTTTTTTTTTTCATTGGTGGGAGAGGGTGCTGTAATCCCCGCAGCCATGCGCAGGGAAGCCTCGGCTCCCGGTAGTTCTTAGCCTCTGGGGCCCAGAGTGATTCTGGGTTTGGTGCTGGGCGGCCGGTTCCACCCCCCGACGGCCGGTGGGGAGCGAGCTGGGCTGCTGCGGGAAGGGGCATGGGTGTTGTTGACGGAAGCGATCGTGACTATTGGTCGCTGGCGGCTCCTGGGAGTGGGGAGGTTCCTCTCCTGGGGCAGGCCGCGGTGACCCGGTTGCAGTATGGGACCAGGTGGGTCTCTCTCTCCCTCATCTCTGCTTGCCAGCACCTGCGGAGTGTGGGCCCCTGGAGCCCGGGAAACGCCTGCAGAACTGTCCATGGAGCCGCGCACTGTATAATTTTTCTCAGTGATATTAGGCATGCCACACCAGGTTACACCTGCTCGTTTAAGGAGTTAGGATTAGACAGTTTCCGGAAAGTTACTGGTTTAATTGTTAACTTTATAGGAGTCCACTCTTTGTGTCTTGTGCCTTCCAGTTGGAGATTGAATTGTTCCATTTAGTTTCAGATGTCATTTTTATTTCACAATATTAAATGTTCTCTCACTTTGAGTTTACTGATGAGAAGAATGAAGCAAGTGGTTCCAAGTGAGAATTTTGAGTAACACCTTTAAAAATAATCATCCCCCCTCCTTTTTTTAAATAAATGAGAAAACTGAACCTGTGAGTCCAAGTCACACAGCAATTTGGTAAAGTAACCAGAACTAGAAAACCAGGACTTCTGATGCCTAGTCTCATTGCACTTTCCACTACATCATGTTGCTTTAGAAGGGTTTGGTTTTTTTCCTTTTATTGATTTAATTGTAAAAGAACTGTAAAAGGAATAATCACTTTATTTTTTTCACCAGAACTCAAATAATTAAAATGTAAAATTCTTAAGGCAGTCCTAATTTTTGCATATTTTCCAATCAGTTTAGTTCGGAACCTCTTCAGCACTTTGAATGTTAGTTACCTACAAATGAAAAAAAAATTCAGTTTTGCTGATTTAGTAAATTTGTGATATATTTTGTATCAAAAAGGAAGTAGTTGTGTTATGTTTACCCACCAGACACATTAACTTTAGGATGGAAGGACCGTACATTTGGACACGAGTTTCCTAATTGCTCTGTCCTTACCTGTAGTGTTGACTGGTTTCAGAAAATGACAGATGTCATAGAAAAAGAGAGCATTGCACACTGGTTAGCATAAGTAGATTGCTGAATAGGCTGTCAGTATTCAGTGCTCACTTTCTTTATATCATCTATTATTAATCAACTTTTGAATTTGTCATTTAAGACCACACGGTTATAGTTGCCTGCTCTTGTGAGATGAAATTGTTGTGAAGATTAACTTTAAAATTTGAAGTTCCCAGTTAATAGCAAAATAAGAATGCCATTTTAATTTTTTGGAATAATCTTTGTACCCCCTTTGTTGACTATGCACGTTATGCATTTTAAAACAATGCTGAAATGCGTTGTCTCATAAGTCCAGCGATTAGATCTATAGGTTAGATCAAATGTGTGAGGCAAGAGTGTATTCAGAGCTCTAAGAATTCAATAAATGAAACAGTGGTAGACATACATAGTCCTAGCTCTGGAGGAACTGATTTCTTCCTTCATTGAGTAGATGGGTATGAAGTTAATACGTAAATGCTGAAGTTAAAATCAGGGAGGCTTGATACTTGCTCTCAGGGAGCCTACTGGGTATAAAAAGGGAAAGAAACACGTAAACAGATGAGTAAGTCAGTACTTCAGAGTGATGTATAAGAGGCTGCATGTCTAAATGGAATACACCCTGGCTTTGTAATTATCAAACATAAATTCTAACTCAGGGTCACTTTGGGCAAGTGTCTTAACCTTCCTATGCTAGATTTGGTTTTCTCATCTGTAAAATAAGGTGATTGTGTGGATTAGAGGGACTGTGTGTAAAATGTGGAAACTTTGTAAAGGTTTAGGGGATGAAAGGAGAGGGTGGTGGAAGAGAGGATAAGTAAGTAATTCAGTTAGAGTGGGTGATAACTGAATATTTACGATTAACAGGTACTCCCTAGGTTGAAGAGAAGTATGAAATAGCTTGGAAATTTAGGAGGCCTATTAATAGTTTGTTATGGAGCAAGGATGGTTTCTGTTTGGATTCTCAAATGTAAGTTGGAATCTTTGGGGAAGTTATTAAAAATGTAAATTACCATGCTTAGTTCCAAGGTAGTATTCAGATTCCCTGGGTCAGAGGTGAAGTCTGGGCATTTTTATTTTTAGAAAGCTTGACAGAAGATTCTAATATATATCACAGAATGAAAACCCCTGCTGAAGTCCACTGTTTTCTGATAGGGTAGTCCTCGTGCACATTGGAAATGTTAATAGTTGTTTTTTTTTTAATCTTTGGTCTATACTAGGGGGAATCCAGAAAACCTGGAATTATCTTTTAGAGATGGGCTTCTTGTAGTACAGGCTTTCCCTACTAGGTAAATGTTTTAGGAACCTGTTGGCATAAGTGTACCAGCTAGTGTTGTTGTAAGAGACTGTTCAGCTTCAGTAGATTTTTTTCTTGGGAGATTCTTTCAATGCATTAGCCCATTTCATGTTGGGTGATTTATGAGTGCAAACCCACACTGCACTGGGTGTTCTGAAGTTTTTGACCCAAAACAGCATGACCCCTGTGCTCCACCCTCCCTGTTGACCCAGTCTTGCCCCAAGTGATTTTCTTGGTTTCCCTGTCTGAAAAAAGTCCTCTAAGGGAAACGTTTTGCCCATGTAGAAGAGGTGAAACAAACAGAAAACCAGCAGAAGCACTATAAGGCATCAGAGTTGATGAGATCAAAACAGTGGAAAAAGTGTCACAGTAGGTATATTATATCAGAGTTCTTGAAGGTGACTGAAGTTTAAACATGTAAGAAAAAATACACAATTTTTTGTAAATAAATTCTGGGTGTTTTGGGGTCCCCTCTCATATTTTGTGAGTTAAAGGTGAATTAAGTTAAAAAAAAAAACAAGTTTTTAAGTAAACAATTAAGTGAAAACAAGTTATTTTAGTACAGCATTTCTCTGACCCTTGAAGATATCAATGTGCATTTCATAGCTGTAAAAAGGAGACATAGTTAAGGAAGTATTGCACTAGTTAGTGGGAAACCACAAGATCAGATTTGACTTTTAGAAAGTTTTCAGGGGAAAGGTGGATGCAGGATAGAAAGTAAATTGAGGATTGTGAGTGGAGACAACGGAGATCAGGTAGTTGTTTACTGTAGTCCATGTGAAATATGATGAGGGCCCGAATTAAGGAAGTATTGGAATTCAAGAACTAAGTCTCCAGCAGAATTTGGTCCCTGTTATATAGGGGAAAGGAATTTCAATAAAGGTAGGCATTATAACCACCAGCCGAAAGAGTACACAAAAACGTGTATTTCATTAACTGGAAGTATGTTTGGTTGTTAATGAGGCTTTGAAATGCTGATTGGTTTCATAGTGAAGGTGAATCATCAGTCAATCTGTTTGCCACAGTTTTAAAAAATATATTTTACGGAAATTGAAGTTTGATTTAAATTTATATGTAAGTATATGTTATGTACTTAAAGTAGTTCTGATGTCATTCATTAGCTGGCAGTATTATGATAGAGCAGTTTAAGAAGATTCTAAACAAAGTGATTAATTCTGTTGCTTTTCTTGTAATGTTAAATCACATCTCATTTTCTGCAAAGAATATATGCAGTTTTGTCAAGTAGAGTATAGTATATAGGTTGGAGGACTCCCCTAAAAAAACCAGATTTATCTTTTGGAGGACAGGCCTCTTATAGTATACTCAGAATTTGTTCCTCTGGACAGTCAACCAAAGTTTTTATCCAGAAGTTTTGAGAAGGTTACATTAGGATTTGTGGAGGAAACATCCTGAGTTGTGGCAAACAGGTGACTGCTTCTTAACATGACAATGCACTTGCCTACACCTCACTGAGCATGTGAGTTTTTGACCAAAAAACAGCATGACCCCCGTGCCCACCCTCCCTATTCATTGGATCTCCTGACTTTTTTTGTTTGTTTCACTGGTTGAAAACTGTCCTCAAAGGGAAACGAATTGCTTATGTGGAAGAGGTGAAACCAAAAATGGCAGAAGCACTAAGAAGCATCAAAATAGAAGAGTTCAGAAATGGATTTGAGCATTAGAAAAAGCGCTTGCATGGGTGGGTGTATTGCATCAAACGGAGAGTACTTTGAAGGTGACTGAAGTTTAAACATGTAAGAACAAATACACAACTTTTTATACAATTTCCATTTTTTGGAGGGTCCCTCCTTGTAGAGTCCTCAATAAGTGAGGTATTAAGAATTGGGGAAAATAAAACCTTAAACTAGGCCTCTATAACCATCTCTGGTCTAAATGGGT